CAATCAATCGGTTAGTCACAGTGTGCCGCGTATTTCGCAAAAAACAGCCACTACCCCTCCCATCTCCACCACTGTCCTTCCTGATTATGTGCCAACCTGGTATCCGGAAGACATCCTCCTCCTTCAACCATGTTTCTGTAATTGCCATCACCTCAAAAGACTCCCCCACCCTCCTAAGCTCCTCCCTCTTATTTCTCACACTTCTAGCATTCCAAACTCCACACCTCATCCTTTCCCCAACATTCCCCGAATCTTCCTCCTCTTAAACCCTTTCCCAACTCCTTTCCCCCCAATCTACCCTTCTATTCCGATAAAGGGACTTACTCCCACACCCACCCTCGCCCTCTACACTCTCCCTCACACCATCAACCCCAGACGCTGCACACGACGCAAGCACACCCACGTCTTTCACTCTCCATACGTTGCATACTAAATTTACATAAAATACATAAAAAAGAACAATACATATAGAACCATATCTGCCAAAGTCTCTTAACCTGAGCACACCCACGTCTTTCACTCTCCATACGTTGCATACTAAATTTACACAAAATACATAAAAAAGAACAATACATATAGAACCATATCTGTCAAAGTCTCTTAACCTAAGATATATATTGCGCACGCAAAAAATAACGAAAACAAAATACAAAACAAAAAAAAAAGGAAATAACCATTCTTCCAAATAGGAACTCGTTATGCTTAACCCTACACTTATCCCTAACCTTCTAAACCCTACGTTATTTCTATAAAAATATAATATATTGTCAGGATGCACTTTGCATTTCTTTGGCATCTTTTCCCTTATACCCCTTATCCTATCTTTACTATTCTTAGATACTACGCTCACTGTCTTTATGCAGTCTTTCCCTTTTTGGTTGTCTATGAGCCCAAAATAATACTGGCACTTGTCAGTCTTTAATTTAATCTTTGATGAAAATCTACTCACTAACAAAAAACAGGTACCACTTTTGATCACTTGATTAGACATAATTGACTTAACTAAGGCACTATGTTGATTCACCCTGTGCAACTGCAATTCTCCTAACCTTACTCCTGTCACTTTTGCAAAACCTCCCACTTCAACTTTCACCATGTTTCCTCGTATTCTTCTCCTTTATCATTTTCCTTTCTCTGCCCTTGTCTTCTCTCCTCGTCTCCTCTTCCTCTCCTCTCCTTCGGTCTGGCTCCCTCAGATCTCCAGTCCACTTCTTGTTCTCCTCTTCTGCTTTTCTCTTCTCTTCTATACTCCCTCTCCTCGGTCTCTCGTCCACTGTTTACTTCTTTATCTCCCTTCTCTCTTCTCTCCTCCCTCTGTTGATCTATCGTTTCTCCTTTTCCACCAGCCAATTCTCTTTTCCGGGCCAGTTCTTCCCTCTCCCTCTCTAGCTTTCTCCTTACTTTTTCCTTCGTCCTCTCGTCAATATACATCTCAAATGGGGGGGGTGGTTACCTCATTCCAATCCTCATTTGGATCAGGGTGGACTGTCCTTTTGGCTCTGTACTTCCTCGTCCTGATGATCTCATGAAATTTCCCTACTATATTTTTTTCCTGAAGCACTCTGATCATCTCGTCAATTATCTCATCATCCGTTCTTTCCCTTAATTCCACAAGCCATTCTCTGTTCAATTGTTTCTCCTTCCTCGCTCTCCTCCTCTCCTTCTCCATTTCGTCTTTATTTAACGCCAACCTCAATTTCTCGTACTCGAATTCCCCCTCCGGCTGTTCACCCACCATGTCGTGTGATAATGGTATTCTAGTCAGAATCTCAATTCGTTCCCCTTCTTCACGTTTCTTCTTCTCAGTCTTTTCCTTACAGTCTAAGCATATGTATCTATTGTTGGACAACACGAGATCAGTCTTTTCGTTATAACAACTGAGTTTTAAACCCATGTACTTTCTTTTTTGTTTCATCCAACCTGCTTCCTCTTCATTACTTTCCTCCTCTTCTGTCTTCTTCCCTTCTACCTCTTTTCTCTCCTCCCCCTCTCTTCTTCCTTTCGTAACGGCTCCACTATAGCTTGACTGATTTCCAGTTCCCCTTTTGCCTCTATTTATCTCCTCTTTACCCCTCCTGATATTTTCCAGTTCTCTTCCTATCGGCACCTCCTTATCATCCCATACTTCCCTTCTTTCTCTTCTTGGCAAACATGGGAAGTCCCTGCTTCTTTCCTCTCTAATACCATCTAATTCTCCTACTCTGTCCGTCTCCGTCTCACCCATGCTTCTAGATACCATCCCTCTGGCTGTTTCAAATTCTACATTACGATAGGCCATTATCTTCCTAATAGCCGCCTCCTTCTGCCACATCCAGCACGCTCTAGCTATCGATCCATGATTTCCTCCACAATTAACACATCTCGGGCTCCTCTCGCACTTGCCATGTTCTGCCTCCCCGCACACTAAACACTTCCTAACCCGTTCCTTGCACGACGCCTGCATATGGCCGAATCTAAAACACCTGAAGCACTGCTTGACGGGCTCAACAAAGGGTTCGATTTTCATCCCTACATGCCCTTGGCCTATTAGTAATCTCGTTGGCAACGAGCTTCCCTTAAAAGTAATCATTATTGAACGCATCGGTTCATACACTATTTTCCCATCCGACACTCTCTTTCTCCTCATTCTTTCTAGCGTAAATTCACCCTGGCCCGGCATGGCCTCCTCCTCCAATTCCTTGATTGAGTCCTCCCACTCAAAAATAATACCGCGTCTGTATTGCATCCTCTTGAGTAGAAAAACTGACAGCTGCCCCTCCCTACTGCTATATTTCTTCAAAAGGTTGTTAGCCTCTTCTTTGCTTCTCGTCGTTATTTCTGCTTTATTCCACCCGATCACGCGAATACTTCCTATTCGCACACCTGTCCCTTGTACGAACCTGTAAATTTTAACTAGGTTATTTCTTTTCGTTTTATTTTTGTTTGTGACCCTTAGGACACAGCAGACCACATAATCCTCTCTGTTACACCCTTCCTCATATAAATATAATGTCTTTTCCCTTCCTTTTCTATTCTCCGCATCCTCATTCTCCACGTGTTGCGCGCAGTTATACTTTCCAACACGTGTTGCTTCTTCGGCAATTTCCGCATTTATCCTATTCTTATTTCTAATATTCTTAACCCTTACTTCTAAAATCCTATTACTATTAATGTCTATACCTATTAAATTAGCGCACTTATTACCTTCACTACAGTCTTCCCTTCCTTCTACACTTAACTCTGCACTTTCCTTACATGTCTCTGCACAACTTACTGCTTCACGTTCTCCATCAAAATGGCCGATTTTGCCCTCTTCTTCACTCACTTCCCCACACCGCCATGGCGTCTTCGTTGGCGCCACCATAGTCATGCTTACCAACTCTTGACTTTCGTCTCCCATGAAATCCCCAACTAACTCCTCAACATTGGTCCTTTCCGATCCCCTATCTTCTACGTCATTTCCATACCAACTCTTGACTTTCGTCTCCCATGAAATCCCCAACTAACTCCTCCTCATTGGTCCTTTCCGATCCCCTATCTTCTACGTCATTTCCAGATTCTCTCTCCTCCCTCCTCTTTTCTTTCCTACCTCTACCTTCCTGGACTTCCTCCTCCTCTTCCACTTCTCTTGCCCTTTTTTTCCTCTCTTCTGTCTCCATTCTGTCCTCCATCACTTTCGCTGTTTTATCTTCCTCCATATCCTTATCCCTGCATTCTCTCTTGGTCGCTTCTAGGACCGCTTTTTCCTCCTCCGCCAAATACTCTAGTGCCCAGTCCTTCCTCAGGCTTTTGAGTATCTTGCTTTCTTCTCTTTCCATTTCCATTCCTCTTTCCTTTGTCTCCTCAATCACCTCACCCATATCCTTTCCCCTATCTCCTTCCTCAGAGCTCATCTCTTCTTCCCATTTCTCTTCTTCTTCTCTCCCTTCCTCCACTTTCGTTCCTCCACTCCTTTCCCCCCTTTCCCCTTCTCTTCCTGCTTCCCTGGTTTTCGGCCAACCAGGGGGCCCTTTCTCCTTCATAAACATTCTCCTTTCTTTTTAAACTATTTTTCTTAACACTATTATTTAAAAACTAACTATTTACCAACTAATAAAACGTCTACAGTTTTGTCCACAAAACACCAATCAGAACCCAGCAAATCAGCAACAATTCAGGAGCTCGCGCACACGCATGTCACTCTCTCGACGCCATTTTTCCCAAGTATCTTTGAACGCTTATCATTTGATTCACAGTTTATTAATGTGTCCTTATCTTCATAAATATTCATACTTAGTCCGAACATACCTATACTATTGTAACGCGAGCGTACTTGTTATCATCCTGCATATAGTCAGTGTAGTATGGCGACACGACCGTGAGAATATTTACAAAGCGCATCTGTACTTTGTTATATCGATGACAATAAATTAAGAGCGAAATTTAAACCATCCGAGCGTGCGTTAAACTATCTGAGCGTGCAATCATGTACAATAGACAAAGCTTATATTGTTAAAGCCACTCGACGTGGGTGTTCGTACTAGGAAAAGTTTGGGAATCCAGAGAATAAACATAGCTTCATTCTGAATGTTTGTAGAGATTAATTTATTAGGGACCGTATCGAATTCGTTGTTTTTGAGTAAGTCGCGTTCGGCTCTGGAAAGCTTCGAGATCTCCTACGAATGTCTTTTCATGCACTCGAAGAGGGTCGTAAATTTTCGCCTAATACAAGGACTTTGTTTTCGCGTTCTCTGGGTCTCACGCTTTCTCTACGCACATGTTCAATGTTACGTTCCCGCGTCTTGGCGGAGCCTCCACCACCACGCGGCTGAGGGTGGACCACAGCCAGGAGAAGGGGCCCACATCGGACGGGGGTGGACTCCTCCACCATTGGACAAGGGATGATCCTGAGGGAGGATCCAGGATCCAGCGAGGAAGGGGCATCGATCCGCATCACCCGAAGATCTCCTCCGTCAAGCGCAGAACGAGCAGACTAATTTTGTATTTCATACGCTCCAGTTGCTCTTGCAAAAATAAGTACTTTGTCAATTATCGGAATAAATAGTTGGACTTAGTCGTTTTCCATCTTAAATCTGTTTCGAATCATTTCTACACACCGCGAGCAGAGCGCTCAGCGCTCCACGGGTTAACTTACCCACATCCTAAAATTCCTAGACCGCGAACGGTAAACGCAACACTATTACTTCTCAAATCTTAAATCCGCAGTAATATCAGGTTCCATTTATACTATTTAATTTTCATTTTCTTCCGATTCTTCTTTCTTTGTGTTGTCTTATTTCCTTAATTAATTAATTAAAAGCCTCGTTTCTTAATTTATTCTATTCTATGAGCTGTCAAAAATTATTCTATTTCATTTAAACATCTACTAAATTTGTATAGAAGGGAACCTGAGTATACGCCATGGAGGGTATATTTTATATAGGGGAAACTCTATGTATCTAAATGTCTATAGCGACATTTTAGTATTCGCCCTACGTCCACGTATAGCTGGTTGCGTGAAGTTGTGCCCTTCTATCAGGAGTACCAACCTAGTCTGCACTGCGGTCTGAAGTTTCATCATTATGAGAGTAGCTTGTTTACATTTAATCCATGTACCTGGAGTATATCTATGAAGTGGAAAAAACCTATCAACTGATCCTATTCACGTGTAGAAGTATATTGAACAATCCTAAATAATTTCAATTATTTCTGAGCATTTAAAAACTTATCCTATGTAGTCTATTCATAGATAACTTAGCTGCAAGTAGTTCTAAGATATTCACATTCTTATAGGTTAGCACCTTCAGCCAGAGGAGACTCAACTTTATATGAATCCGTCTCTATTATCCTATTTCCTGGATCAGCTTGGAAATTATAAAGTTAATTGTCTATTCTAATCTAATCATTCCTTACGGTGAGTAACAATACTTTTCCATTTTCTTCCTCCTTGATAATGGTATACGATCAAATCTATCCTACCCAGGGACCTACAGTTATGTGCCTATGAAATCATGTGACTAGTTTTATCCTAGTTTAAATTAACTTTAGATGTTTATTTCAGAATATAGCTCATATACTTTTATCTTAGCCCTCAATTTCATCCACGCTCAGTTAATTAATTACGTTTATGCTGTTTCAGTAGCATTCCTGCTAAACAGCACACAGCCCAGTTGTAAGAGTATGTACAAGTATCCGACTCCAGCTAGAACTAGTAAATTCCTTAACTGGTTTTAGCCATTTTATATTAATTCATAGTTTTAAAATCTGTATTTAATACCAAACGTTTTCCAGGTCCTGACATAAAGAAGATACCAGGGAACGAGAATTAGTTAATTTCTATTTTCGAATTTTTATTTTAAGTTTTTATATCCTTCATATATCCAGTATGAAGTATTATTTCCTAAAGTAAGTACCCCACCTGTTTGTGTTCAACTTATTATAAAAGGAAAAGAGATAACGAATATTGAGGGCTTGACAATTTCTTAATTCCAAGAATAGAAAACAGAAGAAGAGGAGGAGAGTTCTAGATGGGGGAAATCTGTTATGGTATCCCCTAGGTCTTTTTTATTTGTTTTTCCTTTTTTATTTTTTCCTTTTTTGTTATCTTTATTTATACTTTATAATAATACTTGCTATTCTCTTATTATTTTTATATTACTGAATAAATAAATGAGAATTTATTTTTGCTAACGCCGTCTTAACTATTATTATTACTAATATTAGTCCATCCCCTCTTCTGCTCTCAGTATCTATCTAGAATTCAAAATATCCCTTTGCTAAGTCAGAAGTACAAGATCACCAGAAAGAATAGGAAATTCTACCATATTAAAGTCATATAAATTTAGTATCCATTTTGATACCAATTTTTTTTTGTCTAACCAGCGGTCGGTAAGTTACCCATTGATCACACCTGTTTAAACTACAAACCCAGGGAACAGGTTCCTATTCCAGCCGTGCGAGGTCAGCCAAATACCCGTGTGAAGTGGCGCACTTCTTCAGGTTGCATAGTACCAACCTAAGCCAACACTGTACCCTGAAGTTTCCGTGACTACCTTCCTAAGTATGTTATTTTTATAGTTAGATAACTAACCTGTGATACCTGTAAATCTCACCCATCATTTACCTAGTGTTTAATCGCAGGAAAGTATTAAAAATCCAACCTAACAGGATCTATACTATTCCATAATCTATACATATCTGTAATAATAGTTTATCAATTAATTCCGACTCAGTCTTGCATAAGACAGCACCGTGTCTGACAATTTTAGTATATAGTACACCCAGGACAGTTTTTCCATTTTCTTAATTATATCAGTTATACCTATATCATAATCATCTTTGTTCCTTTCTAAATAGTTGTGAGAACATCTATACTATATCTAAGAAGTCCAAGTATACAGCAAGGAGAACGCAGAGTGTCCGTTGTTACAGGAATGAGTATTTATAATTTTAATTTTAATTATTAACAGTTCTAATCCTCGACTAAGATCAACTAATTAACCGTACTGTTTCAGAGCCCTACCCATACTGTTGTTGTGTCAATTCTAAAATGTATCTGGATTTTTTCAGAGCCCTACCCATACTGTTGTTGTGTCAATTCTAAAATGTATCTGGATTTTGCTCGGGTGCAAAATCCAGAGAAGGAGGAACCAGAAAAGAGGGGAGAAGAGCATAAGAGAGAAAATAAAGGAGAAGAGGAGTTTCATAGAACAGAATGGAGTGACAAAGCAGAAATAAAGAAGTAAAGATGAGAAAAGGGGAAAGAGAAAAGTCAAAAGACATAAGAAAGAAAAGAAGAGAAAAGAAAAGACAAGAAAAGAGGAGACAGAGGGCCATTGTACTATATTATCCCCTAATGGTTTTTGATTCTATTCTTGTGATTCCCTCCTAGACACAAAATCTTTTATCTATACAGAATACTGAACTTTTAATCTTAGTCAGAGTGACCCTTTCCTCCCTCCTATCCTTATTATCTGACTTTCCTTAAACCAGCTATCTTTCTTTTACCATGATAAAGAGTCAAACATAATTGGATATGTGAATGTTTACCTTATTGATCGTCAGTAACCTTACCCTTCTAAATAATTAATTTCTTTATAATTGCCCTCAGCGGATAACTTGTCTCCAGATCTAACTATAATTGGTTACAAGAGTCTTCTTATCCTATTATAGTATTTCTCCAAAGGAGAAATTCAAGCTTAGTTGCTATCTTCCAACTAACCGTAAGTAGTTCTCCACGTCGATAATTTGTTATGACATCCCCTATCAAAGCTAGCTACCCTGAGTAGATAATTTCCTATCGTATCATTAGTTCTTACAGTAATCCATTATGAGAATATCCTCATCCTATCATCCTCGCAGTGGGTAAGGGGAAGATAAGTTTATCTATTACTCACATCAGAAGGTAAGTCACTGAGTGGATGACTGAATTCTCTAAGGTATAAGTACGTGATCCTCATTGAGTTACCAAGTGATGATATATGATTTCTAAATTTCTTGGATAGAGAAATCAAACATAATTGGATATATAGGTATCTACCTTATCGATCGTCAATAACCTTCCTCTTCTAAGCGGGTAATTTCTCTACGTTGTAGATACCCTCAGTAGATAACTTATCCACAGATCCAACCATGTTTGGTTGTGAGAGCATTTTTCTCCTATTATAATTATTATTGTCCAAAGATAAAATTTAAGTTTAATTACTATCCTCCAACTAAAAATAAGTATCCACATCGTTAATCTGTTATAAAATCCCTTACCAAAGCTAGTTACCCTAAGTAGATAATTTCCTATCATGTCGTTAATTCTTGCAATAATCCATTATAAAAGTATCCTTATCCTATCACGCTCGCAATGGGTAAGGGGAAAGTAGATTTATCTATTACTCACGTCAGAAAGTAAGTCTCTAAGTGGACTAATGGATAATTGAAGTTTCTAAAGTATGATTAATCCTCATTGGGTTACCAAGTAATGATATGTAATTTCTAAGTTATCTTGTACCAGTATGTTGCCCACCTACCTTACCAGTAGCTGCTGGATTATTTCCTG